GGATCATTGCTTTTGTCAAATTATTATCTTTAAGCTCTTTAATCAAGATCTCATATATATAACATAGAGAATAATGATATCTCTCCATTATACCTACAGAATTATATATTTCAACTAATACACTCTTAATAATGATTGATATAGATTTTGTATTCTGAATAAACTCTTTATTCACAAAGTTCTTTCCTGCATCATAAATAATATAATCTGATAGTCCCATATATACATTAATCCAGCATTCTCGAAAAATATTGAATATATACTTAGCTGAAACGTTTTCAAAAAACCAAATTGCTTGATAGTGTGTTGCCTTATCAACAATATGCAGAACTGGTTTGCCTGTAATATATATGATATCGATATATATAGTATAGTTAAATTCAGTATCCTCTAGTAAAATGAACCTGAAACATCCGGGTGACTTGCTATACATTTGATAATGCTTGTAGTATTTGATGAAATATTTTATAGTGTTATTGCTTTTATTATAGTCTATATATTATAATATATTATAAAAGTGTTGTACAAATAGATGACTGAATCGTTGATATAAATACTATAGCTCAGTAATCATTAAATAACAGTCATTCTAGCAAATAGACTCTTGAATAAACTAATCCATATTCACTTTCTATATCAAAAATACATACTCGCATCTCCTAATAATAGAATATTGATCAATTGAATTAATGAATTTGTTAATAATATTATTATAAAATACTTTAAGCTAATCCATATCCTCAAGTCCCAATAAAAATAGAATATCAATATTCACAATATGAAAACAACATATCCAAATAATATATCAACACAAAATAAACCTATTAATATCACAATCCCCTTCCCAAAGCATACATTCGCCGCTCCCGCTATTGTGAATCATATATCACTAGGTATACCTATTGCCATATATGATATTGTCCAATCCCAACTATAGATTTACCTGCACAAGCTATATCGATACATATACCGAAGAACTCCTTGCTTATATAATTTGCATAAAAAACATCTATCACACTTTCTGCTAATAGAATAGCTTCAACAGAATCTCTAATTAACATATATAATATCGTATTGATTAATAACTGATTAAATATCTCTTAACTATTTATAAATTCTAAACTAACAAAAAATGCTTCTTCTTTAATATCATCAATATCAAGATCTACAAAGAACTATCCCATTTCAATTTCTGAATCAGATTCTATATCAATAGCTTTCTCCCTCGTATTCGATCAATCATTAATCGTAATATTTATTAAATATATTATTATTATCATCCTTAATCTTTTCCTAAATCTTTTCAACAAAGCTTGCTGCCCATCCCTTATAAACTCATCACTCAACTGATCACTCGAATACACTACACCCTAAAAACCGCAAAACCCAATATATAACACAAAAGCCCTGCTGCTCGGCTAAACAAATAACAACCCACTCTCGCTTCTTCTCCTCTACCATAGGGATCGAAGCCCACAACGAGCCTATCCACCGGGAACCAAGCTCTGTCTCAACAACAACCCGGATCAAACATTCCCTTCTGGAAACAGAAGCGGATTGCACCCACAGAGGAGCGAATAGCCCCTGGCATTGAAGTTAAATTGCTAAATTCGGTCGCGACGATCACGCCGCTCAAATAGTTCCTTATCTTAGCACGTCTAAATACCCTTAGGGAGGTCCAAAACAGACGTTAATTAATATAAATAAAAAAATAAATAAATTAATCTTTTCCTAATATTCATATCGGTTTTTATCCTATTCCTTCTAAAAATGCTTTATTGATCAATATCCCTCTTTCTTGTATATCCAACAACGATTTCGTTAATTCGAAGAATTAGATTGTTATTGAAATCTATTAATATTATTTTTAAAGCTATTGCTTCTAAAATTACTATTTCTAAAACCTTTAAAACCACTTGAATTATTCTGATCATTATTACTATGGAATCTTTTATTAGTAAATAGTATTATATCTTTTTTCTTATATGATTTCTCTTATATATTAATAGATTATTATAATTAATTGATTAAACCAGATATTTTCTTTTTAGGGTCAAAACAAGCTAGGTTACATACCTCAACGTTTTCATATATTAGTATAAACTTATTATATAGATATAACATCTGCTGTATAGCGGAATCAAATCGATACTATAATATACATAACTACTTGATTATAATAATAAAACACTCACTAAGTGGCTTGTTTTTATATTCCTTTTTAATCAATTTGAAAATAATATTATTCTATTTAGATAGTATATTGTATTAATACTTTTCTCCCTTAAAGTTACTCTATATATAAGTACAAAGCTCTCTGAATGTAGATAATAGTGTTTTATAATTGGTATGAAAGAACTTGAGCGTGCTGTTCTTTAGTATAATTAGAAATGTCTTGTATTGTATATCTATAAATACCTTTATATGTTATGAGATTTTGTAGAATATTGAAAGTTTGAAGTTGAAATTATTGTTATTCTCATTATATTTCTCCTTATTGATATAAAATTTTGATAAACTGATAAGAGATTATATATTAGAATATATCGATGGTTTCTTATCCCTATTATATCGATCTCTATTGTCCTTTCTATCACTATTACTATTATTATTATTATTAGGATTTCCTCCTTTGTTATTTTTCTTATTATCTTTTCGATTATTTTTATCATATTCGAAGTTGTTATCAATAAATCTGTTGATTATTCCAAATCTAAACTTAGATTCTTTAAGATTACAATCTTTCAGAACTTTCTGAACTTGGTTTTTTGTTTATACATTTATAGTAGATCTATATAATTGGTTATATAAAGCTGTAAATACTTCAATACCTAATTTCGGTATCCATACCCCTCAGACACATAATACTATTTATAGTTTTCGTATATCCAACTAATAGATCTTTGCGAATTGCCTATTTGTGAATATACTGAAGTTATTATAAAAGACCTCGGCTAACTCGTCGTTGTTGATATCCTCATAGTCATATTGCTTGTATTTGAATTTAATATATTTAATAAACTCCTTAAAATCAAAATCAACAATTCCATTATTAGCCTGTTGTTCCTTCAATAGGCTTAATTACTTTTTGTAATGCTTCTTTTTTTTTTCCGTATATAATTCCTTACTAATAACCTTAAAGGTAATCGGGGTGTTGTCACTATCCAACATAATAGAATGTGTATAGAGGTATTTCGAAGATTATAAGTATTTCGAAGATTGTAGATAGATTATAGGTATTTCGAAGGTTGTAGATATATTATAGATATGAGAGGTATAAGAGGGTGTATGAAAGGTATTTAGATAAAGGGTTTATCTTGTACAATATACAATACAAAGGTGAATACGTGATGGATACAAAATCGATTCGTCACACTTAACCAATCGATTCTTTTAAATATATTTTCCTGATACAATTATCCAAAGTATATTTTTTAGTACAACAAGGAGAGAAAACGCACCATACCCAATACAATGATATCTTTCTTTATAGTCTCTTCAGAATTTCTATCAATCCTGAATACTATTTCTAAATACCTAATGCTTTTTAATAAAATCCAAGACCCTAATTTATGATATTACTAATTAATATTAATATCAACTTGATATTGATTAAAGTATAAAGTACTTCAGTCTTATCAATATAATTGATTGTATTATTCGTTTTGATCATTATTAACTATAGAAAGCTAGTACTTGATATAATAAAAATGCAAGCACTAATGCTAGCGCTAGTGCAATACGGTGCCCTCTTTAGATCACATGATCGATATCCCGACAATTGCTTTGTGACACTTGTGAAAAGCCCATTGCATTGTGGGCAGTGCGTTTCCGCGTATACCCCAGATGACCGATTGTACGAATAAAATGTCAGTATAAATTCCTATATAAATATTTGATATGTACATTATTGAATTCAAACTTTCTTTGTTCCTAACGAAACATATTTTTCGTTATTAATGAATATTTTCAGTTTAAAATGATAATTGTTTATTATTGATATTTAATAAATATAAAGAAAATAAGGGGCTCTAAAGGCCTCTTAGAGATTTCAAGTATAGAACAAGGATAGGTGAACGGAAGGGTATATGCGTAGGAGCTAAGAGGAGGTCAAAGAATTGAAAAGGAGCTAGAAGAAAAAGGGGAGCGAGCGAGGAAGCTAAAGGGTGGATAAAGGACATTAGCCGAAAGTCTAAAGGAAGATCTGTTCATAAATCATTCATTTGATTTTCGATTCATTCTTTAATCAAACGCTTTATCACTATACTATATAACACAGAATGTATTATTTAAACAAGAATATTAATCAACTTTAATATATATAATTATATTTTGAAATCGATTATTAATCGATTTCAATATAAGTAAACTTTTTTACTTGCAAATAGCCTTAAACCAAAACTTTCGAAAATCAATAAATTTCGAAAATTTCTATAAGGTTTCTTAAAATAAAATTTTCTAATTATATGTATATTTATATAAAAACTAATTACATTAATACTTTACGATTCATTTTTTCAATACAATATTAAAGATTAAATTTTTATTATACTTGATGAAATAATGGTTTTGTTAACCACGGATTCTGCCACCACAGGGGTGAAGATACACTCATTTAACGTTTCACTCACTCATCTACTCTTGAGTCTTGAAATGAAATTGAGTATCGAATTACTCATTGAATGGACTCAAGATTTCCCTGCAAGCATACGAATTTTGAAGTTTAAAATATGTGTATTGATCTGATGTATATATGTTAGCAACACTTGTTGCGCTAGTACGAGGCTGAAAAGCTAATTCTCTTGACCTCGCGTACATTCCATAGATTGTTACTCGTCAGATACATATAATAATATACAAATTGCGTCTCTGATAATTTGAATGAACTGATACTTTTCATAGATCTCAAAAATCAACTTACAAATCACTTCTATGCCATACGGCCATTCCGCAACCTCTTTTACAGTATATACACTAGCATCCTACTAAAAAGTATATTTCTAGCGCTAGTGATTCATTAGCTTCTTCGGAACCTTCCTTTTTGTCCTTAATGTTTTATCAGTTCTGTCAATATAATAATGTCATAATTTAAGGTCCGTTGGATATAAGATCTTACAATAAAGCAATGTATTTAAGATCTACTTTCTATATCATATTAGTCTTCTGCCTCTCTATTATCATACAAGGAGCTTCTTAAAACCAATAGTATAATCATTGTTGGTATCACTACATGGGTCATGAAATTATTACCAAATTATGATTCACACTGTGTAATACTACTTTAACAACTAAAAGCTAAAGCCCATGAACCCTTTTTGATGTAGTTGCTGTAGAGGTACTAGCGAGTGGTGCTAGTATAGTCATATGATTGCTACCCTAATAACTAGAACCTCAGATCAACACGATCCACAAGATCTTCTAGTTTCTCTAAGCCTTCAGCGGTGTCAGACGTTCATTGTTAATGTCGTAAAATCTCTTAGACACCTCTTTGTACCTATCGATATACTTTTCATAGCACATCACCATCGCATCATCTTCTTTTCCCCCTCATCTCTGTCTTTTCCCTCACCAACTCTGAAAGCAGTCGAATTACCTCTTCTTTGATGGGGCTGCATTCGCTTGAAGATGAATATTTATCTTTGGGCGCTTGTCGCTTGGTCGTGTTAAGATCAGGGTATGAATTTCGGCTGGAAGAGCCGGATTTACTCGGTCCGGATTCACTCGATCTGGGTCTACTCGATCGTCCTGTACCGATCGAATCTGCCTTCTTGGTGCTCATTACTTGTTCACCTGAATGGATCTTTTTGACACTGGAATCTTTAGATTTTGTAGCAGATTCATTTGTCGCATGAATTTCTCCACTTGCATGCTTTGAAGCAGAGACTAATTTGTTAGCAGGTAGTTCATCTCGTGAATTCTTATTGTGATGGATATTTGGAAGATTGGAGAATGGATTGGACTACCTTTTTCTAATCCGGAAGAGTGTTTTCGTGAGTTTTTCTCATCTTTATTAGAATATTTGCTGCTCATTTTGGAGTTTGAATTGGATGTCTAGGGCTCAAGGGAGATATTGTTTGATTTTTTGCAAGGTTCTGACTGAAAATGAATATTAGTCTGAGAAACACGCCTTTAAATAATACTTTAGAGTTGAAACAACCAAATGTATATCTAACCTGTCGGTAAACATAAGCAATTCATTCGGCCGATTTGAGGTCATACACTGGTCTTAGGCCTTTAATATACGTAAAGTGAGCTGTTATAAAGCCCAGTGCATGTATATCAACATTTTTCCTAAAGTTTCATAGGAAGTGAGGGAATGCATGTTACACTATCTTAGAAGGTACCGGTAAGCTTTCAAGAAATATGTTGGAAAGATGGATTCTGGAGGCTTGACCACGACTTTCATATTTTTGTACTGTTATTCTTACGCCTATGATAGACAGACATTCAACACATTTTGACATGAATATTGTTGAACCTTAATGCCTTGTATTTAAGGTTACTAGGAATAAGGGGTAATCAGAATCGACAAAGGCTTATAGAAGATTCTAGTCTTGTAGCAACAACAATATTGATTAGAAATATAAGAGATAACGTGGTTTATTAGTGAGTGGGTCATATCAGTGCGTGGGTCACTTTCACCTCAATTCACTTATTCAAATTCATATTATTTAACAACAACTAAATCAATTGATTGAAACTATAAAGATTCTAATAATCTAGGGTGTCACGGTGTGAGCTCACGTGATATGCTGGTCCTATCGAAAAGGACCGAAAGGAGCGCTCACACCGGAGCGCAAGCGAGCTAGGGCCCGATCGGGCTAGCTCGCTATGAGAATTCCGTATATTTTTAATTCAGAAGATTCTGTATTGTAGCTTTTTGAGCTATATTTTAATCCTCAATCTGAACTTATTATCCGAATCAATATAGCCTTGTTAGATTAGGGCAAAGTTATTAGAACTTTATTTAATCTGCTTGTTTTGTGATATTATGTAGTTTTTATTTATTAAAATATTACTTTTGTGATGATTGTTTCGCACTCGTCTAGCCGGTCTGGGGACTCCTCGGAATTTGACGCTTCTATATCGGAGAACCCCAGGTTTGATACCAATACCTTTAATCGGCATCTGCGTATTATGCCGAGCTGGAGGAGATTAACAGATTGCTCGAACGCGAAATTTCTGAATCCTTAGTTTGCGAATGTATTCAAGCTGTTTTGTATGAGTAGATTGTTATTCAAAACACTTATTTACTCGATCGTCTTACCAAATCCACACCTACTATACCTATTCATTTGAAAACTGTATCCCCCAAAACTTCTGCTGATTTTATTCTCGAACTTACTATACCTACTCCAATCACTCAATTGAGTAAACGCATCTCCAATCCGAAAGAGTTTGATGGTATCCATTCCGATCTGTATAGATTTGTTCAATAAATATATAGAAAATTGAATGCGAATAATAATAGATTCCCAACAACTTCTGTTTACTTGATTTACATTATTAAAAGACTTACTGAAAAGGTATACAAGTTTATACTACCTAAAATCTCTTATGGGATTTCTCAATTTATTGATTATACCGTATTCCTCGAATATTTTGAAAACGCTTTTGGGGATTCTGATCGAATACAAAACGTATAGAATAAACTATATATACTGAAGCAAAAACATTTCGATTTTAGCACTTTCTTTGCGGAATTCTAAAGACTTGCTTTAGAAGGAGAGATACCTGATAATATTCTAACCCCATTTCTATTTCAAAGAATCTTTTGCGAATTATAAGATATGCTATTGTATAATCCCATTCCAACCTGTGAATTTCGTTAATATATTAACTATTTATAATAATTCGATAACTGATTTTATCAATACTAATAACAAATCTATTGTATTCATCCTATTATTTTCGAAACTTTATTTTAAAGAATAATCACTACTCTATTTCTACAACTCGTTAGCCTGAAATCTATTCCTGAAGATCTAATAAATCTGAGCTTAGAAAAAAAGGAATATATTACTAGGAATCTGGGTTTGCGGCGGGAATACAACAAATACTATCACTACAACTCTACTAGCCATCTGATACGAGACTGCTTATACCCTGATATCTATCCTGTTCAATTTTGAGTTATTATTATTATAACCAGCTCTACAAAAACCAGCTCTATACTGAATAGTCCTTCGAGGGGCCGAGTCCCTATCTGTTCCTTATTTTGCTTTTCTCTCTGCTTATCAACTAATTCAATCAATTCGGGAAATAGGATATATCTAATCTAAACCATAATCAGGATAATCCTTTACATATTCTCTATTTATCTGTTATTACTATTTATAATCTTCCTTTGAAAAATAAACTAAATAATTATGCGGATTTAATAATTCTATTCATTATTCTGTTTTTGGAAAAAGATACCTTTTCGATATACACTATAGTCAATAACGGATATAAAGGAATTATCTTTATAAATCAAAGTTGGATGTCTTTTCAGAAAATATCAATATATTAACTATCTACAGTATTCAAAGTTATAGGATTTGATAGAAACATTCTGCCCGATAATTGAGTTACCTTTTATATCTAAATAAAACTCAAAATCAACGATTATATCAAGAAGAAGATTGTTTTATATATAATCAAGCTAATTCACTATCCTATTATACTAAGGATAGCTTAACTTAAGAAATATAATCCCCGTGTCGACTTTACAATAAACTCATTCCAATTCGATAACTTGTTTTGCTACAAATTTTGTAATACTCTATCCCGCCCGTCCTATATAAAACTCTACTAGATATTTCTTTAAAAGCCCGATCTGTATATCTGCCTACCCGCTCCAAAAAGTTAAAGAATAAGAATATAGCTGTAATTTCCCTGAGAGTCTATTCGGCTTATGTTTATCGGAAATATAAAATATTCCAGATATCGATCAAACAAATTAATAATATTCTAAAAAAAAAAAAAAAGATATTTGATTTCAAAGATTTATTACCCAAATTCCGAAATTGAAAAGATGTTTTCTCCCTAAAGAATATAGAGAAACTATCTTTTTATCGACTATATGATTATAAGATCCATTTTAAAAAAGAAACTGTTCCTTTTTTCAATACTTTGTACTCTATATCCCACCTCGAATTAAAAGTCTTAAAAGAATAGCTAGAAAAGAATCTTAGAAAAGGATTTATCCGGCCAAGCTTTTTTTCTACTGTTTTCCCTATTTTGTTTATCAAAAAGGCTGATGGAAGCCTTTGATTTTGTATAGATTATTATGCTTTGAATAACTTATCGGTCAAGGATCGATATCCCTTGTTATTAATAAAAAAAATCTTTAAATAATCTGAAAGGAATAAAATATTTTAATAAAATCGATATTATCTTTATCTTTAATAATATAAGAGTAAAAGAAAAATAGGAATATCTAACTACATTCCATATCCGATTTAGATTGTTCGAATTCTTAATCATACTATTCAGACTAACAAGGGTTCCCACAATCTTCCAGAAATTTATCAATAATTCCCTACAAGAATATCTGGATGTATTTTGCATTGCTTATCTAAATAATATTCTGATATATAGCCGAACTCGAAAGGAATATATTCATTATATCCAGAAGGTTCTGTAAGCATTGAGAGAAGCCGGCTTATTTACTAAATTCGAAAAATGCGAATTCCTGAAATCCGAAATCAAATTCCTAGATCTTATTATAGGAAGCAATAATATCCGAATGGATTTAGAGAAAATCCGAATAATTATAGATTGGAAACTGTCTATTAGTATAATCGATATCCAAGTATTCATTGGGTTTTCGAACTTTTACCAATAATTTATTAAAGATTTTTCGAAGATTATCAATTCGATAATAAACCTGACCAGAAAGAATATTTCGTTTCTATAAAGCTCTGTCTATCAAGAAGTATTCAACTAATTGAAGCGAGTATTTATCAAAGTATTTATTTTGGCTTTCTTTGATTGGGAAAAGGAAATGATTATAGAAACCAATACCTTTGATTATATATCCATCGGAATACTCTCCCAATACAATAATAATAGAGTACTTAGACCTATTGCATTTTTCTCTAAAAAACACTTAGCAGCTGAATGCAACTATAAGATTTACGATAAAGAATTGCTAGTTATTATCCATTGCTTTAAAGAATAGTATTTTGAGTTGGAAGATGTTGTATTACTAATTCAAATAATTACTGATTATAGAAATCTAGAATACTTTACCACAATAAAGTTATTGAATTGCCATCAAGCTTGTTAATCTGAATTTCTGTTTCGATTTAATTTCCAAATTACCTATTACTCTGAAAAGTTAGATGCCAAACCTGATACACTAATTAGAAGGTTAGAAGATTTCCCTAAGGAGGGGGATAAACGCTTTCTACATCAAAGCTATACTATCCTGAAACAAGAGAACCTAGATTCTGATCTGTTTCCTGTTGTTGTTATCCTAATCGAACCCAAGATTGCTAAGAAAGTATACTTCACTGTAATTACCTATAGCTAGAGAAACCCCAACCTTATCAATATTACTGATTACTTGGATTTTAACGATACTATAACTTTGCTAAAAAATGGTAAAGTTATAGAGCCTACAATCCTATGTGCCATATCTGTACCCAACCCTGTAATACAACTAAAGGATTCAGAAAACCCTCTAAACCTTTTTGCTGATTTGCTTACCCTGTTCTACAAAGGCTATCAAGCTAACCCTGTACCCGAATCTGTTCTGAAATCCCTACAAGAGGGATCCCCAAAACACTTGAAAATCACTTTTACTAAGTATACCGAAAACAATAATCTACTATACTACCAAGGAAAACTATACATTCCCAATCATAACCCCCTGAAAACCTACCTGCTCTATTTGTACCATAAATCGCCCATTACTGGTCACCCGTATTATACCCGAATCTTCGAATTATTATCCCGAAACTACTATTAACCTAAATATTACAATTATATTACGCAGTGGGTTTGTAATTGTTATAATTATTATTGTATTACCCTAAATTGTAGAGGTCAGAAAGGAATTCTCCACTTACTTCCAATCCTGTAAAAAGTTTGGCAAGATATCTCAATAGATTTCATTATATATCTACCCGAAAGTACTGGTTTCGATATTATTATAATAATAATCAACCGATTGATGAAAATGAAATATTTCTTGCCCTGTTATGGTACCTACAATTCCGAAAAGGTTACCCGTTTGTTCCGGAAGAATATCTGGAAGCTCCACGGCTTACCCCTGATTATTATATCTGATCGTAAAGCTCAATTCGTTTTTGAATTCTGGAAACATATTTATAAGCGCTTGGGCGTAGCTGTTAAGCTTTTAATCGCTTACCATTCTGAAATTGATAGACAAACTGAAAGGGCTAATACAATATTGGAACAATACTTTCGGTTGTATATAGTTTACTTACAAGATGATTAAGCAGAGTGATTTCTATTCGCCGAATTCTCTATCAACAATATTTAGTTCGAAAGTATCCGAATGACCCCATTCTTTTCAAACTACAGGTTCCACCTCTGTTTAAGCTTCGAGCCTGTACTGTTCCAGAGTAACCATCCTGTTATACAAAATACTAAAGAATTTATTACTAAAATAGAAATTATCTTTTTATATTTATAAACCAAACTAATTATTAATCAAGCCCGATATTCGAAAAATGCTGATACTCACCGTTCCCCTGTTTGTAGATATCTGCCCGATGACCTGGTCTAACTGAATGCCAGAAATATCAAGATTCTGCATCTACAGAAAAAGCTTGATTGGAAGAATCTCAGGTTTTTCAAAATTCTGAATTTGATAGACCTTTATACCTATAAACTAAAGCTTTCGGTTTTAATAAAGATTTATTCTGTTTTCCATATCAACCTGCTATATCCTATACACGATAATTCTATTCTTAGGCAATGTAATTTATCATTACCCCTTATAGAAGTAGACAGTCTTAAACGTTTTGAGGTTACCGAAATCCTAAACTCTTGTTAGAAAAGAAGAGGTTATAAAGGACCTTGTCTGAAATATACTATCCATTGGATCGGCTACAATACACCGATCGAAAAACCTACAAGCTACCTAGAAAACATACAAGAACTGATCCGCAACTTCCACCATAAATATCCTAACAAACCCGGTCCCATTTGATTGGGCCCCGTTTGCCTATAGATTATAAACTATAACATACCGCCTCGATAGAGTTCGACCCTTAGGAGGAAGGTAATATCATAATATAAGCTTACATAATATACTAATCCTATCAGAAAAAACCAAAAAAAGCATTCACACCAGAATGCAAGCAAGCTAGAACCCGATTGGACTAGCTCGCTATAAGAATTCCGTATATCTTCAACTCAAAAGATTCTGTATTGTAGCTCTTTAAACTATATCTTAATCCTCAATCTGAACCTATTACTCAAATCAATATAGCCTTGCCAGATTAGGGCAAAGTTATTAGAACCCTATCCAGCCCGCCTGCCCCATGATATAGGGTCTATTAAATCATTTTAACAAGTTCTTATATTATACCCTATCTTTCCACACTTATTACAATATCAACTAAAAAATACTTCCTTATTAGAATTTTTCCCTTTTTGATATTCGTTGTATTGAATCTGAATATCAATCTCTTATTGAAATAATATATCAAAAGCTTTTTATTCAATAAATACTCCTCCTTAATGTATTTGAGTTTTTTTTGTATGTCGATATTTACTTAATATCTTATTTACTGCTCGAAGTATATGAATCTCTATATTCAAAAATATATTCTCATAAGCTAATCTCTTTGTACTCTTAGCTAGAGTTAATATAATTTCAAATATAGATATAGAGGAGCTTGATTGATAATAAGTTATTTGAGATTTAATTAATGTTGATTGAGAAAAAGCTTCAATTGGATTATAAGGGATTTGAGAAATCCATTGATCTAGATCGAAAAAGAGAGGAGGGGGAATAGGTATATAAATTCGAATATCTAGTTTCGAAAGTATAGTTTCAAAATCAAAGGATATTAAACCTGCTCCTCAAAACCCTAATTTCATATTCTGAATTATGATTGATTCTTTATATACAGCTTTAAAAGCTATAAAGAATTCAACCTTCAAAATATAATTGATATATACCTTGATAAATCCATCAATTTGACCATCATATAAACATTTCAGATTGCTAAAACAATCTATATTAAGTGGTTAAGTTAAATGACTTGAATACAATAGTAAATCTAAATATATAATATCATTCTCTTTGCAATATGCCTGAAAAGGATCTGATAAATGGCTTTCATGCCCATCTAGCACCAACATTCGATATTTGCCCTTTCTTCGATTCTTAATATATTTATCGAAGTGTTTTAATCATTCTAAACCCGTTTCATTATCTGTCCATCCATTAGATATAGATTTAATAGCCCAATCCGCAGGAAAACCGATTTCGATATACTAATTGAAAAGATGAACCTATCCCTGAATTACTAGAAATAAGAATATAATTTCACCCTCCCTATTACCACATATAATCGCTATAGCCCATTCTTTATTGTCTGGTTGTATTGTTTTGTTTCTACCCTTTTGTTCAGTACTAGTTATTATTATTTTGAAGTATATTATATCCATTATAAAGCCCATTTTATTGAAGTTGTAGAAATCACAATCGAAAATATTATATTTCGCTTACATATTCGAAATTAATCGAAACCACTTCTCAATAAGCTTAGGATCTTCACAGAGAATTCTTTGGAAATCATAAATGCAATCAAAACACGTCTTTAATTCGATTCGATATTTTACAAATCGATATGCCTAAAGCTTTTTAATATACTTTACATCCCTTGATTCAAGAATATGATTTGCTATATTTTCCACATTTCTTAATTTAGATGGAAATCCTTTCGTATCCATATCGATTATATATTCAGAAATGATATTCTCTTTTAGTTTTGAAAGATTATTAGATTTAGATTGATATTCAGAACGAGATGTAAGACCATTGATTCTATATTGTAGTGTTGTATTCAGGATATTATATATCTTCGTAGCTTTTCGAATGCTTATCTTTTTGTCTTTTTGAATAACCTCGATAACAAGAAGTATACAAGCTTCTTATATATTCGAATTCATTGTGGGTTGTTGATAAAACGTATGTTGAAAAAGAAGAGAATGAATTGAGATAAAAGTGACCCACGCACTGATATGACCCACTCACTGATAAACCACGTTAAAATAAAAGGTTTTAGATAATTCTGAAAGGCCTATATATATAGATCCTTTATTATTATAAATAAATAATCAAATTGAAATCAATATTCAAAAAGAATAATATTAAATCTGAGTCACCACTCGTGTATATATTATATATCACTTATATATATATGATAAACCTCTGAACAAGAAATATATATGAAGCGAATTTATGCATAAGTTCCCTGTTGCCATCTAGCTCTCTTTCATAACAAGAACGACGAAAAGCTTCTTTGATTTTCAATAGGAGATGGATTCAGTAATTATTTTCATCTTAAAATATCAGAATTGCGTCGCAATTCCTCAATCTTTCAGAGAAACCAAAGCGGTTACTGCAATCTTACATTGTATGCTCAACTTCTATATAAGATATAAATACTCTACCAAAACACCTGGAAATAGATTAGTACTCGTCTGATACCTGTACATTTACATAATTCTCAGTCTAGAAACCGTTCATTGAATATTCTCATACTATAAGATTCAAAATTACCACACACACCCTCTTTCCGAAATACAAATCATACCGAATTGTCGTACATAAAATAGTGACTACTCATCACCCTATAGAATTCACCTATATATTCATCAACTCCATACCATCTATTATAATCCTTAACATAACCCTGCATCATGGTGAACACTAGTATCCCTTCCAAAGTATATCTCTAATACTAATAATAAACTATTAGCTCCCTCAAAGCTTTCTCCTTTGCGCTCGTGATTCTATTGGCTCTCCCAATTTAATGACGTCAATTTCGAGATCGAGCAGATGTGCAACAAAGCGATATTTAAGATCTAGATTTACCTCGATTCACTCATTTTTGAGAAACTCTAGAAAATGATGCTAATAATAAGTTTCTGGATGGAGTTCGCTAGCGCCCGCTGATAATATTCCTACCCACCTAGGTGAATCTTGAAAGTCAGTCTCTGATTCACTGCAACGAGATAACCTTGTAGCTCAGAGGTGCTAGATGTACCTAATGAGATGATATAGATAAATAATACAATATGGCTCGCAACCAAGTGACACGCACTACATAAACATTCCCAGTTCCCGAGACAAGAAGTTTTTAGAACAGAACCGATTCACTCCAAATATCCTAGTTTTCATGTACGCAGCAGTACGATAACAATCCATCTTTCACATCATACACCTTTCAATACCACCCCCTCTAAAATCAACTCTCCCACAACTTCACTCTCTTCCACCAAAATTCACAAGCTTCCTTCTCCATTCTATCCTCCCTATCCTCTTCAATCTCTACCACCACGCCTTTTTCCTTACCCCCCGCAATCTCATCATTTCCTTTTTTGAAAATCATTTTTTGTCGTTTCCTTTTTTCATCCTTATATTCTGACCACACTATGCGAGTCGGATATCTACCTGGAATTGCATTTGGATTTCCTGCTGGAGATATTATGAAGGACATCCAGTAAGTATACATCAAGTCTACGATTTCTTTGATCGTTGTGGATTTATTGACTACCTGGAGTGTGTATACAGAAAAGGGATATTGAAAACCGTAAGAGGCATTAAGAAGGACACTACTATTAACTACATATTCATAGAAATAGACTGGAGCTGATTTAGGCAAACTTGAATTTGAATGAAAGTTTTCATAGGGATATTCCCCAGAAGCAAAATAAGCAGTTTGGCGTATAGGACTTATATACGCATAATCTCCATATACTTTATCGAGGTGTTGAAATTGATTTCTTATTTCAAGAGTAATATTATTGAAAGCGTATAAAGAGTCTAGATTGTATTCAGGATTTAGATAGAGGGAATCGATAATTAAGAGATCTTCCATAAAAAGATTGGATAGAAGTACATGAAAAAAATTGAGAAAGGAACCTACTTTATCAACGGTTTTAGGAATGAAAATAGATCCCTTATTAATATTATAGCCAGTAAGAATAGGAATGTGACAATATATATTATTTAAAAAGGCCTCAATTGGGGGTATTGGAATAATACTGTCTTGGCCAGATCCATCGATGCACAATTGGAAGGGCTAACGGAGGGAGGGGTTGTAAGATTCAAAGATTTGTTCCGAGGCAGCTTTGATAAATGAAACAGGAAGACTGCAAAGTCTCGAAAGAATTTCGGTACGTGGAATACTAGATAGCTCAAGTTTATCTAAGAATTCTGAGAACTGAATCTCATGGAGGGGGTTATCGTAAGAATAGACAGTGCGGGCTATTGGTCCCCCAGATTCAATAATTGCTTTAGCAAAAAGGGAAGGGGAGCCATCATTGTTCATTAAATGATGACCGATCTGAATCATTATTAGAATCCACAATGATGTACTGATCGTATCTCTAATTCTCTAGCATAGGCAGTATTTTCATTATCCCGAACTACAGAACTTCCAATGCGCGAACAGTTGAGAAACTTTGGTTAGAATTTGACAACAGAACCCACATTCCAAATAAATTCATTCAATATCGCGACAAGTTTAAACGCTTCAAACGGTCTCAGGATTCAAAATCCCTCATCATTAGGTTGCACTCCAAGCTATTGGAGTGAGCAGACAAGCATGGCTTGAGATTGGTTGCCCTGAAGTTGCTAACCAAGATTATCGTAATACTGAGGGAAAAAAGAAAAGAAAAAAACTCACAGAATGAGCTCCAGCTGAGGGACCCATCAGAGTAACGTTTTCTGGATCACCGCCAAAGCTTGAAATATGTTTCTGGACCCATTCCAACAACAACTTCTGGTCTTTCAAGCCCAAATTCAAAGCCTTCTCTTCAGCCATTAGCCTCGATGGCAAAAAGCCCAGAGCTCCTACTCTATACTCAAATGTGACTGCAAGCAAAGGTTGTTTAGACCAGCCCACCAGAGATGCTATTCCCCTATCATTCGCATTCCCAAAATTGAAAGCTCCTCCATGAACATGCACCAAAACTGGTAATTTTTCGTTTGGTGAATTCGTGGTGCTCTTGGAACGATGAATATTCAGATGAAGACAATCTTCACTTTGAGGTTGATTGTCTGGACCGGACATACATCTTGATGCGGGTTTTGTGGCATCAAAAATTGCTGTTGATGTCTTTACCGGGACAGGAGGTCGAAACCTAAGATCTTCTGTTGGTGGTAATGCATAAGGAATTCCAAGAAACTCTTCGAGGACTTGTGGGTATTTTAATGTTTGTTTTCCTATATACGTTCCCTGTGGAATTGTAACATTCGGGCTTGACGAAGTCATGGAGGAAGTTGTTGGAGTAGCGGAGGTTTGTGTCATGGTATTAATTGATGTGCTTGAATCAATTGAGGCTGTTGAGTGTTGAAGCTTTGTGTCATCATGACCAGGTGGCTCCTTAATAAGACCAGGCTTTTCCGGGATTACGGGCTTTGGACGCAATCTTTCCTCTGAGATTTGAGGTGAATATTGAAGCCTCCAATAATATACCAGAGCGATGGTGAAGATTGAAACAGTAAATAGAAGTGCTAATCTCTTGCGCAAAGTTATACTTGCCATGTTGTCGCCTGTTGTCGTTGTTGTTCTAGGTGGTTACTGCACACAAAGCGCGTCCGCAATGGACTATAAGATATTGATATGAAATTGGTTGTAGAGTCAGTAGAAGTTCATAACATTTTGGAGATTAATAAGAGTCGATAATATGGAAGGATTGAACATCTTTCAATGTTATTCTAGCAACTTTGCGGCGTGGATAAAATTATGGATGTACAGTAATCACTTGCTAGATTTCCTAGTCTTGGAAATGAACCTTGAAACCCGGACTACCTGGAAATTCAGCCACTGAGCCACTTTAATAGCGTACACAAGCCACTTCTATCTCTGTAGGCCCCACTCCTGAGGTCCTGAGGATCCATCATCCAAAGCGACGACAATTGACTCTGGACTTCTTGACTTGTTTGCCATCATAATTCCTACAACACATTCGAAGGGAGAACACCAAGTCTAGTCTCTACCCCTTCTTGTCTCGAGACAAATAGAAATTAACTTAGTAGGTACCTTGGTAGATAGGTGAAAAATTAAATTCTCTTTTCTGGAGAACATCAAAAGTCGTGCTGTCTTCTGGAGTCATTGGAGGACAATTTCAGATACAAACTTTTATTTCATATAATTCATGTTCATATCATAATTATGTTCTGCTTTTCCTCAAGCTTAGCATCAAATTATAATACAATTGTTCCGTTGCAGAACGTTCAGGACACAAGAGATGTGCACAAGACACTTTAAGAGCTGACGTCTAGACATTCGAGGGGTTTTAAACATATATCTTCTCTTCCCTATAACTTCGCAATTTCTGATAGAGGATCACTCTGGGTAGATTTCAAGAATGAAACGACTCAGATACATGGGGAGACCCAATTCATTCAAAAACTTGGATTTCATGAATACACGACTTTGTCTGATAAACTCCAAACATATTGGTGTTTATAGGTACTAGGTAGATACATAGTAGGTCATATATTTTCTCTTGTTCTTTCCTTCCAAGCTCAGAGAACGACACGGACAACTTCACACCTTCCATGTTAACATCAGAATGAACCACGTCTACTCCTTCCTTGCTGTACTGACATGTTCACGCCAAATAAATCCGTCTTCTTGTCATCCTCTTTCAATTCTCATCCAACAATCAAGCACACAGCAACATCGCTACAAATTTTGCTCTCTCAACCTACCACAGCCACCAGACACACACTCAAACAATTCTTGCTTCTCTATATCAAACATAAGCTACCCCTTGCTCCTTGTCACAAAGACTCTTTCTCATCCCAATCCTTCATCTTTCTTGAGGCTTGCTTTCCCATGAAGATCGGCGTCAAGCCTTCAGATTTGGCATACCACGTTTTCAACACTTCCCATCCTCTCACTCTACACAAAGAAGAGCTGTTGGCAGACGTTGTGCATTTTCCAAAATATTCAAGAGAAGCGTTCCTCAAGGACATCGCTGCTCATTCCAATCTCAAACCTGTGTCTGGATCGGACTCTTTCACCTTAACTCCTTTATCCCCCGCACGAAACTCAGAATCTTCGACATCGTCTCAAGAAACTTTCCAACTTCACAAGGACCAGAAGGCCATCCTGGAACATTTGTCGCTTGAGCTAGAAACCAAACTCGACACAAGCGTTGGGTTTTGGCGGTGACTCTTCTGCAGAAGGACCCACCTACGACTATTCACAGACATCTGAGATTGATAATTCTGAAAGTACTGGTTGAGGTACCTTAAATTTCCCAATTTGTTTCCGAGATTAAGAGGCTAATTCTTTCAAGACGAGACAAGCCCTTTTCCAGAGCATAATTCCAATTGACTCTTCTGCAATACGCCTGGACGAAACTGTGGGTGGCATTGTTACATAAGGAGTACAACGGCGTTGATTTGGAGTCAACAGACTCGTTACTAGAAGAATATTCACTCCAGGCGCCTACTCTGATTAAGAAGAAAAACAGCAAGAACAATGGTTCATTATGAGCAAAGAAAGCCGCGGCTGGTACTTAGAAACACCCAACCTAGAGGGGTCGATCCTCCAAGGTTAGTTTTAAGGCAACAAAGACAGGAGCCTCCATTCCCAAATGGTGACAATGCAGCAAACTTACCACTGCAAATAACCTATCTTCCACAACCTTATCATGGCCAATATCAGAATATGGTCCCTAACTCTTTGCCATATGCTACTTTTCAATCTCAACTACCAATGACATATAAAGTTCCGCTAAACATTAATATGGCTCCTAGTCATGCGACATCACAGATAGTTGATGCAAGGAATCATCATCGTAACATGAATGCCCACAACGGCCGAGGTCCTGAAGGAGACGAGGAAATGTATGCTGGATGTACTCCCGTTCTCGAGGAGCGTCGGAATGAGCACACTGGAAGGGTTTCCCCACGAGTTGCTTTACGCACTATGATGCAGCAAGCCCTTAGACCAAGTACACAACGTGAAAAGTTTGAGCGCCAAACACACTATACTCAGCATTCTCACTATCCTCGAGATGCTTTTGGATTAAGCTCACGTGGCGTCAGTGTGGCATCTGATACCCTCGATTTGTCCCCAAATGACAGAAGTCTTGAGGCTAGTATTCGAGAGCAGCTTGCTCGTTCTGGTCTCCTCCGAGATTGTCCAGACCCGGAATATGTCAACAGGCCAATGGCGGTTGATCCTTCCATTGTCTCGTGCGGAAGAGCCCTGAAGCAACAAATACCATTCCATCATCACAGACCACAGTATCCCTTCAGTCAACCGCAACCCTCTGAAGAAGTCAAAATGAGCCGAGAGCTCTCACGACCACCTTTTTCAATCAGCACGTCACCTCCAAAACTTCAAAGAAATACAGGAATTCCAACTTACAAAGTAGTTGTGCCACGGTCAAGTTCTCCACAAATTCAGACCTACAGAGGTGTCGATTCTGTGATCAAGGAACCCAAGAGAAGAGATAATCCACAATCGTACAAGGTCGAAGCGGGATCAAAATTCTTGACCAAAGATGACTACACTCCTACCAAAAGAATCGTTGGCTACTTTGTAGAGTCTTCTGGCGAAAGCCCTAAATCTGCCAAGAGATACCCCACTCAGTCTCTCAGCAATCATGATGAGACAACGCCCAAACCTCTCAGACACCCTGTCAAAAATCGCTCGGGTGGTGTTTCTGAACCAGAAATGACACAGTCTCTCATCAGAGATGGAAAAGACAAAGTCAATAAAAGTGAGGAAACACCCAGGGTAACAGCACCTTTGACAGAAACCACTGAGGGCGAAACTCTCAATGAGCCGATTGATATTATCGACAAATACGTTGACGGCCCTAAGACGCAAGCGCATGCTACAGTGCAAGAGATGTCGGACGATGATTGCATTACAAGCCCAGATGGAATAAAAAGGCAGATTTACTTGAGGACTGCATCAACTCTCTGGCTACATGGGAAAAGGGAGATCGTAGAGTTCTTCTCAAGCTATTGAAGGTTCTGAAACGACTTGATGATGAAGATGATGCCAAGCCTATCGAGAGTCTAAGACTACCTGCCCTACTGAATCCAGCTCAAGAAAAGAAAAGGAATCTAGATCTAATAACAGTCTTAACCCCAAGGCGGCGTGTTTCAAAGATTTTAGTTCTGCTAGAGCTCATATTACCCGCGCCCACCATGAGCGGCGAGGTCTTTCGTTACAGGAAGAAATTACACCAACCTCAAAATGAAATGTTACCAATGTTTTACCTGAAGCCCTTAATGTCAACAGAACCGGTTTGGATCAAGACTCAGCAAAGGACGCCCATGCCACCACTAGGTCTTTCCATTCCATTTAAGGCACATGTCGGTCGTAAGGTCCAGTAAAGACAACCCTAGATCCACCTCCAAGTGAAGAGGATGAAGGAAGAGTAGCCAAAGCAATGGACCCTCGTCTAGCAGGGCCACTTCTTACTCGATTCTACAATAAATATCCATTGACTGGTACAGTATGTCCAAATCCGCCTTCACCTCCTCCAGCCGCCGTGAAGAATGCTGCAGAGATTCAAGAGGAGCTTGAAACGCCTTTTGTTGCAAGAAAAGGAAAAGAAGGCTTTTGCAAATTCTTCAACTGTTAAACCTCGTACATCGAAGGGAGCCGGTCCCGGTGGTGCCGAAACTTCGAAGCTTGCTAAGTGATCAATAATGAACAATTGACAACGGAATGGATAATGGATCCAAAAAAAAGCGAAAGTATGGATTATAATAGTATATTGCTATTTCTGATGATAGTGTTATTTGAGATAGCGGCGATACTTACGCAGATCAGATCAGAGCAGAGCAGAGCAGAGAAGCAGAAAGCCCTTGTGTATGATTAATAGTTGTAGTAGTCTGAATTTTAGCCCTTTTACGACTTGCGAATAAATGCTTCTATGTTTGATTGTAATATGTATTGCGTGATATGAACTTCGTTATCTTTGCTTGTTGCTCTAGAAAGATTCATCAATACTTGATTGCTCTCATAAACTGTCAAGATATTAAATATATGAATGAGAACAAATTCTCGAAAGTAACCTCGATTATAATATCCAGGATGGAAGCGGTCGTTGCGGCCGCCATATCCGCACCAGGCTCAATATCATCATGAGCTCAATATCTTTTGTTTATTCAAAACGTAACGGGTTCATTGAGCAGCCTCTACATTTATCTAAGCTATTCAAGTTGCGAAATCGCATATACCAGCTTAAACCTTATATGCGACTATAATTTATGTTGAATCAATTATTAGTATAGTCGCGACCGTATGAAATCTCACAGCTGTGAAGCTACAAGTACTTTGTTCTTCGACCCTTGTACCTTCCGTTTTCAACAAGAATATATTTCTTTGCACGACAAGTCATCGCACATTATTAATAAACCTCCATCAAAATGGCGACTCCAACGCCAGGAAAGTACCCCGGTGTAGCAGCGACACCTCCCGTCTCAACCCCATTTTCTACATCCCATCTAGCTTTTTCTCCCCATGGACCGCGTTCTGTTGTGCCATCTCCCTCTCAAATCAAAAAATCTAGTCCTGCAGGAACGTCAATGTCGAATCAAGCATATAATATGGGCATGGTGGGATTTGATAGTCCATCTGCAGCGTTGGCGCTGGGAATGGGTGCGGACGTCGTAGGAGATTTGGGCATTGATTTACAAGGAATTGGGGGTGTTGGGTGGTGGGCCAGGAAAGGATGAAGAGGAGAAGAGAAGGAGGCTGATGGGCTGTGTGGAAATTTTGAAAGTGAGTTCAGTTGGGTTAAAGTGGTAGAGGTAGAGGGGGATATTATTCATGATTGGTTTGCTTGGGCAATGCTAATGCCATTTGTACAGCCTAATAAAGGACGACTTAGTGAGGCAGGGCTCGAAAGATTAGCACGCAGAGTCGGATTAGAATGTTTGTGGGAAGACATGATGGGAAGCGCCAGTAATGGACGCACACTTATTATAGCAGGGAATGCTCTTGCGCTCGACATCGATTTTGCGAATAATGTTGTCCAGAAAGTTTCACTCTCATTTCCCGATGCGCCGGAATCAGTAACCAAACATGAGAGGACAGCTTCAGATATACTTTTGAGGGATTTACAATTTGAGGCTGGAGAGAGTCTGTTGACCAAAATGCTGGATCGATTTGCGGCAAACTTAGAGAGATTAACTATGTTGGATAAATTGAGTGTTATACCTGGACTCAATTGTCATGAGGCGGTCGCGGGAATCTTTTGCAGTTTGCATAAGTTACATACTTGGGAGTTGGGAAGATTGAAGGAGAATGATATGTTAGGAATGGAGGATGAGGACATCGTGAGGGCTGCGATGTGTAACAGGAGTGGCATACCAATTATGCATTCAAGAGAGAGACTAGGGTTAAGTCTCGATTATTGGCAGGAAAAACGACGGATTCCAACAAAGGGGAAGAAACAGAATAGAAAGACATGGTCGTTATTGGTAGAGGTTGCACCATTACCTTCATTGGTGGTGGGTGTATATACTCCTTTGCGCGTATCTGATAAATGGATATCAGATGATGTTCAGCAAGCTAATCCGGCAGTCGATGATCTATTCCGAGCAGCCCAATTACAAGGGGGACCGATCTTGAATTGGTTGGAACCTGACAATACTCTTTTACCGACAAATCCCGATATCAAGACAAATGATCTGAACGACGAGACGCAAAAGTTCCCAGAAGCAATGTTTGTTGCGAAATTCGATCCGCCGATTATAGTACCATATGCTATCGCGATGCAGATATACCAATCGACGCAAACGCCCTTTGATTTTTCAGAAATCACAACGTTTGATGGACTCATGTTTCCGTTGAGTGCGGAGGAAGCTTTAAAGACTAACGAGACACAAGCCAGAACTATCACCACAGAGAAAAATATCTCGGTTTGGGATAGAGAGGGAAGAAAGAAGGTAGAGCAACATATTAACACGTTGTATATTGAGAAGATTGATTATGGAAGGAAGGTAGAAGAAGTATCGTTTAGTCATCCCAGACAATTGGTGGAGATTTTGCCATGCTTAAGACAATTTGCTTTGTTGAGTACTGTGTTGAGGAAAGGTTTTGAAGCGGAGGAAAGTTCAAAATCCAAATCGAAAGGACCATCAAAATCTGAAACACTATCAAAATCTCCTGATGTGGATGCTATAAACCCTCCGACGAAGAAACAGGAATTTGAGGATTTTATGAAGAGTATCACCACATCACCGACGCCAAAACCGGTTCTAGAAGAGCCAAAAAAGGAGAAGAGAAACGAATCAACGCATCTAGATGTTTCTTTAACATTAACCCCAGTACCCAGGGTGGAAATAGTATTTAAGTTCAAGAAGAGGAGTGCGAATGCGATTTTCGAAATTCAGGGGAATGGCGGGGTGGTGGTTGTACAGGAGAATATCCTGAATGGAATGGGAGAGGATGAAGTGATGGATGGAATGGGAGAAGAAAGGAAGGCAAGAACATTGACAAGAGATGATTTGGGTAGGATGTTGGAGGTTTGTGAGGATTTGGGGGTTTGGGTTGAGTGGGTTAAGAGGAGGTTGTAGATGGGGTTTGATTTGGGGGTGTGGACCAACAGCACGAGAATAGGATGGAGGAGGGAATGTGACGTATATGAGTGTATGATACCCAGCGAGTTGCCATCTATTTATTAATTCGTTTGATTCGTTCTAATGGTACATATCATATCATGCAAGTGATGTTAAATGTTGGACCCAAATTTTTAATGTAACAAAATTGGGAAAGAAAAGGAGAGAGAAAGAGCAATATCGTCTTGTGTAGAAACCCGAAGTCGGGATTCTGAGTGTCTGAATCTCTTTTTTTCCTGTGGATTGATTAAAAAAAGAAAGAACAAGAATGTCTATTGACAGGGAATCCAAAAAACACACTATTTATCTCACGGAAATCACTTACGAGATAACAATACACACGCCACCCACTCAAGTATTCTCCTCACCCCCTCCACCCCCTCCATCCTCTCCAAACTCTCCCTCATTCCACTCTCCCCCGCCAACTCTCTCGCCATCATCCCCCTCTCACCCCTCAACTCCACATCCACATCCACATCCATACCCATACCCACATCCACCAAAAACATCACCCCATCCACCCCATCCCCCACACCCACCTTCCTCAGCAGCATCCCCCATCTCCACCCTCACTCTCACTCTCCTCCAACTCCTCCACCCCATCTTCACCCCATCCGCTCCATCCCACCAACCACCCCACCAACCATCTCACACTTCCGATCTTCCCTCTGCAGCGCAAAAAGCGAGAAGCAGAACCAACACACCACTTCCCTCATCTCCACACCATCCTCAAAAAGTACCTAGAGCGAGCATCTCGCGATATCATATCCATCCGCGACTACAGCGGCAATGAGAGATTTATATTCGTTCATTTTACTTACTTACCTACTATAGATTAGATTAGATTAGTTTAGATTCGCGCCGGCGTCGCGGCACACAGCTACCTAGGATTAGGAAGGGACCTCGGGAGGAAGGAGATTATGGGGGTGGCTGACGAGGTAGAGCTAGATACTTAGATAGCCATCTACTAAGTACCTAGGTACCTACTCTTCTTCCATATAACCTATTCGCATGTAAGCGAAAAGATTTCCTTCCGAATTGTTAAGAAATATATCCATCCATCCATCCATCCATCCGCCTTTAGATTTTAATCGCAGACGAGAAATTTCACGCTCGCCCGCTCGCTCCCTTTTAATCGTGATGGAGTCAACATCATCCAGCGTGCAGCAACTCGCCATTCAATTAGGCTTTGCTTTCTCCTACACATTCCAAAGACTACTAAGTCTCTTCGTAACAACGCTTGCAATTTTCATTACAAAGTCTTCATCTCATCAAGTGAAGTGCGCGGTTCATTTTCAATTCAAGCCCGGAAGGTAAACCAAGTCTCAACAATGATATTCATATTCATCATGTTCATATACACATCCATATTCACATCCATATTCACATTCCATTGTATCATCTGTAAGACTGCAACAACCAAACCAGATTCGAATATCTAAATTTCTTCTCTTCAGCTACATTTGTATTTGCATCACTCTTGAATTTTAGCAATCTTCAGGTACATCTGCTTTCAAGTTCCTTCATCACTCTCTGCTCTCCACTATTCCCTCCCTCTCTCAACTATCATCTCTCCCAAATTCAAGTCGAGCAAGCCACAAATAAGTCATATTTCTCTCCCAAAGTTCTCTGAATAGTAGCAAATACCTCCATGATAATAAAACAAAACAAAAAGGTAACCTGTAAATTGGGAGACCGCATAGAACTCCAACTACTCCTCTTTCAATTCAATCATCCATTTCGATCCGTTCCAGTCCATACAATTCGCCAGTCCTTTCGTAATAAACACAAGGCAGTATGCCAATCAAGTCGAGTGGAGGTAGTAGCAGTAAGGTATAGGAACATCTACTAGCCATAGTTTTAATACCCGATTCCCCGAAGCCGATTCCATCCACATCCACATTCCAAGCTCACTCCCCATACCAAAGAAATAATCGTATAAAATTTTCATTGCTCATTATCCGTATTTTATCTTTCACGAAAAGTATTATCAAACCAAAGAGAGTCGACCATTCAATAATTAGCGAACCATCTAATCAGCTTCCGCCAATTGAATGATTAATTTACTAGCCAAATCCAAGAAAGGGAAAGGACTAGTAACATCTTTTTCCTCGCACAGCATACCCTTTGCAGTTTCATATCCTGCGCATTTGAAATCCACTAGATAGACACCGGGTTCCATTTCATAGAGTTGGATATCGAGATGCATGATGACGCCTGCATCGTTGGCTTCAGATTCATCATCTTTTGGCATCGAGGAGGGGAGTGCGGGACTAGAAGTTGAACTGTTCAGGGAAGCAATGGAATGACGTCGGATATCTATCAACAGTTAGAAGGAGGTTTTCAAATGACCAAAGAATCACTTACCAGTTTTCTTCCAACGGACATGAAGCACCCATGGATCTTCTGGCAACTTGTAGTTTCCTTGCTTATCCATACCACTGAATTTATTTCTCTTGGATGACGTATCATTCATAGAAGTTTCGCGATGCAGAGAGGCGCCACTTCCATTTGGATCATCGTTGTCATTGTTGTTATCGTTGCGATTGTTCCCATTACTTTCACTCTGACCAGGTGTCCATTCATCGCCGACTAACCATTCGGCACCTAGCTTTTGAAGAGCTCTATAAATGCATCCAATTGCTTCAAGAGGTTGATTTCGAGACCGAATTCCAAATTGCCATTTTGTGGGCTTTGATTTTTTCGATGGAACTGGAGTCATACCTGCTGGTTTCTTGCCTTCATCGAGTTTCGCCAGAGTTCTAGAATGTGGATTTAAGCGGCGAACGGTTTCGGCTTTTTCAGCGTCTGTTTGAGGTGATGGTTCGATGGCCTCTGAGTGAGATGTTGACAGGGTACTCTCCTGGTGGCCAGACTTGTGCGTTTCCATGAACTCTTTATGGTATTGTGGAATACTGCTTGGTAATATTCCGATTTTGCTAACATATGGTCGGCCAAATGATCTATCGGTTCCGATAGAACTACTAGATCTCGGTGATACGGCATCAAGAAGGGGGCTAGGTCGAGGCTGAAATGGCGCAACTGCTGGTTGAATATTACCAGGTCGCTCCTTAATGGCAACCGAAGGCGAATTAGGTAATGAGGGGGGAATCGCTGAGTCGTATGCTGGAGGTGAAGGAATCTGGAAAAGAAGTTGATTTTTATCATCGAGGAGATTTGCTGATTGACTGTTAATTTATACAAACACCAGAATTTTTGAAGTAATGGATAACTTACGATTCGCTTGCATCAATTTATTCTCCCGAACAATAAGATACGCATCCTTAATGGCCGAAGGTTCTTCCGCAGCCAAGGCCTCTTGAACATCTTTAATACCATAACCCATCGTCTTACTAATTTTCTCAGTAACTTGCACATGTAATTTCTCCTGAATGGCTGGGCTCGCATGAGGTGCAATCGCTCGGGGATTGATAGCCTTTGCGGGATCGACACCTGTATCAATGAATTCTTCCACCGGGGGTTGCAAATAAGCAGGTAGATTTGTAGTGAACCAAGGATCATCTCGAATATCGGCAATGGTAGCTCTGTAGACCGGATTGACTGCCAGCATTTTCTTTATCAACGCGGCAGCTTCACGACCCATATAACTAGGGACATTGTATTGACCCCTAGCAATCTTCGCAAATAAAGAAGGAATATGTTCATCATCGAAAGGTAATCTTCCCACAAGTAAAACATATAATATGACACCACAACTCCACACATCGACCTCGGGACCAGCGTATAATTTTCCATTAATGACTTCGGGTGCGGCATAATTTGGACTTCCGCAACTGGTCTTGAGGAAATTTCCATCCGTCATGATATTGCTAAGTCCGAAATCGGCGATTTTGACGTTCAGGTTCTCGTCAAGAAGAAGGTTTTCGGGTTTTAGATCTCGATGCACGATCTTATGTCTATGACAGTATTCGACTGCGCAGATAATTTGTTGAAAAAACCGCCTGGCTTCATCTTCTCTCATCTTTCCGTGTTGTACGATATAGTCGAATAACTCATTGCCGGCATATTCAAGAACCATGATAATCTCGGAGGTTGTTTTAATGACGGTATATCTGGGAAAGTATTAGTTAGCTAGCAAATAAATAAACTTGACAGAGGCAATCCTCACAATTTGATAATATGGGGATGTCTCAAAAGCTGAAGGTATTCGATTTCTCGCTCCACTCTCCCAGCCATATCACGACTGATCAACTTCCGCCTCCCAATAATCTTCAACGCAACCTGTTGACCTGTCACTCGATGGACCGCCAATTTAACCTTTCCAAAGGAACCCTCTCCAAGCGTACGTATGACCGAGTATGCGCCCACTCGCTGCTCCGTCTTCCTTTGTGGTGCCGGAACCGTTTCCATCCTCCTGCTGTTTCCATTTTGCGAATCCCGACGTGAGTGTGAGCCGGCGTCCGAGGCTCTATGTTGTGCGCGAGCGTTTGCAGATGGTGCCAGAGATATCTCTAGCTCGCCGTCATCGTATCGATTCATGACTACGGTCGTCAGGTATTTTCAATGTGGTCGACTGGTGGTTTATTGACTCGGGGTAATTGTTCCGTTGTCGTTGCTTCAACCCCACCAAAGATGATTTCTGGTGGCTTTCAGCAGGTACTAGGTTGGTTGATACAAGGTTCAAATCAAACGGGTGTGAATCACTTGTTGTGAGTAATAGTTGAAGAGTCAGAAGTGAACGAGTCAGAAATATTTTCAAGGGTATAAGAATTATTGAGTAAATAATTTGAAAGAGTCTTCTGTTGAGATTCTAAAAAAATGAGGAACCTTATGAAGGAAAAGTTGATTTGTGGTTCCCCGATCTCAACCAGAATCCGACGGAGGTGGTCGATGCGGGAAGCTCTAGGTAGGACCTGTAGGTACACCAGGTACTTTTAGCGATATCTGGGGAAGTGAAGGGGACCGTAGTAGTGTAACATTGAAAGCTTTATTAGTGCAAGGGGGAGGAGAGGGAGAAGAGAAGAAGTAAACATAGGTGGGTAGGTAAGTTCTGCAAATTTATATATATATATATATTCATATAATTCGTCCGATTTCCCTCGTGTCTTGAGGAGATATAGGTAATGTTGAGATGATAGTGCTCGAGTATATAATTTAAATGATATTTTTCTACAATAAAATCCACAAGAACTCTTCACTCTATCGACAATTGAGACCCAACTCACGAGGTAAAACTCCCAACCTATAGATAGCTATTTATAGTGTCAAATCATCGAGAAGTGTACCTGGTAGAAAAGCAATTAATTCACTCATACAATAGCAATCAATTAATGACTTCATATTTCGTATTAGGTACCTACATTTTAGCCTTTAGCATCACCTACATAGTAGCCAGACATGTATCGGTACTCACCCAAAGTTTATACCAATCGTCCATGGAATTAGCGACGTAATAGAGTTATGACGAAATCAGAAGAAAGGAGGTAGATACCTGATAATCATCAACGCTCGAGTGAATTTAGAAAATTTTGGTTAATGTTTATGTCATCATATATTGGGATTTATATACACCTCCTCTACTATGTTGGTAGTTATCAGCATATTATTCTTTGTATAATTCAATCCATGTCAGGTATTGTCTCGTTGATTCTGCTCCCCTTCAACATTCACTAGTCTTGCGATGGTACTGTACGAGCATCGATGTAAAGTTACCGACTATTGAGTAACTCTACTCAACTCTCCTCTCACATGATTGCCAGATACCATCAATCATCTCCATAAGAATTATTTAACCCAAAAGTCCAAAGAATGATCACAATTTTCATATGATTCCAGAAAAGTATCAAATTCAAGTCTCCAAAAAGATACCCACCAGTGACCCTGTCCACCCGCTTACTAATCCTCCTCAAGCTAATTTCCTAATCGAGCAATTCACACCTTGATATCTTATCGAAAATTAAATACTTTATATGACCAGCTCTCACCCCTCCCCTCTCACCACCAATAAACATCTCCTCATCATCCAACAAAAATGTTTCTCTCAACCTCTCGCGCATTGCCGCATACATTGCGCGCAATAACTCGATCTCACACAATTACATTTTCCAATATACGACGCTCAGTCTCAACATTAAAGGAAAATCCTAATATTGTTTGTTACCCCTCCTCTTATTGTCAAATCCTCCTCCCTTCTTCTCCCCTTCTCTCCTTCCCTCCATCCTCACCCAACTCAGCAAAGCTAACCCTCTCCTAGTACATCCACCCACCCACCTCTTCCTCCCCCCAAAACCACACCCTAACCCTCCTCCCCACCACCCCACCAACCGCATCCCTCTCCCTCGGCACCACCACCACTCTCCCCATCACCCCTCAATCCTTCACTCCCAATCCTCGATTCCTCCCCTTCCTCTCCACCATCCTCCAAAAATACGCCCATCTAGATCCACAACTTCACTCGCAAGCTGCCGCCTTTGCCACCACCACGACACACTTCTCCCTCTCGCCCCCATCCTCCTATCGTCAAAACAAAGGCGGAAAGTCCTCGAAAGGAAAAGATTCCGGTGCGCCACCTAGCGCCAGTCAAGGTATTTTCTCCAATTCCCCCTTCATCTACCACACACTACGCTCTCTCTTCCCCTTTTCCCTTTTCCCAAGCCCACAATTAACCCCTCTCCAAGGCGGCGCCGGCTCCGGCGGCCACGGCGGCTACATCCACCTCTCCGATACCCGCGCACCCCCCGACTACGGCCGCATCGCCTACCCAGAAGATATATTCGGATCTCTCGAAGTGGACGCGACCGGACAATTCGTCGAAGGAGATTCTGGGAAAGCGCCCGGAAATTGGCAAGACTCGGGAACCTACCGTATAGTCACCCGTGAGGGCATCTTCGGATTACCGGATTTCTTGAGGGGGAAATTGGTGGAGGCGTTGAAGGAGGAGGAGAAGAAGATTAATGGAAACTAAGTTGAAGGGGTTTAGAAGGAATAGGGAAGTGAAAAAAGGCTTGGAAAGGAGGGAGTGAGAATTATATTTTAAGAGGTGGTTAAGTTGGACTATGAGACTTCTCCAAAATTGACGAGAAGGAAAATGGACAAGGGTTTATGAATGATGAATTTGGTATATATTGACGTGTGGAGGGATGAAGAGATGTGGAGATATGAAAGCACGACGAGAACGTTGAAAGGTTGATCATCAGGATGGTTGGCGGTGACGATGACGTGCGCCAGTATGTATATTATGTATTACGATTATCACGCGACTCTACTCCATAGACATACTATACTATAATGAGGATCTATCTGGGGAAGGGAAATCCGGAGAAGTTGTGGGGTAATACTACTGTAAGATTAGAATATCCCCAGCTTTAGCTAAAGACAGGGTCGGGTGGATAGGGATGGGCACAGGCCAGCATGTCAAAAAGTATCAAAAGTATCAAAAGTGCCAGAGAACAGAACATAATAAATGTTATCTGAGTTTCATTCTCTCCCAGTTCGGTCAACCATCTAAAAAGTAACCATCTTGCTAACTTGAACGCAAGATCGACGTGAAGGATTTGACCTTCAAAATGCAACGAAAATAGACCTTATCGCCAAGCCATTATCAACTTTCTCCCACCCAACCATTGTTACACGCAAAAAAACAATCTATTTCTTGACCTCAGTACCATCGAGTCCACCGAAAATCTAGAACTTGGTTAGTCGAATTCATGCGTCACTTGATTTTAGATTAAACTTACAGTCTCCATCATAATACCAGTAATTTGATATGGGTCGGCATTTGAAGCGGGTCTTCTATCCTCAAAGTATCCGTAACCCTTGGCACCACATTCTCTTGGAATACGAATGGATGCACCACGGTTGGCAACACCATAAGTGAAACTGTCGATGGAGCCGGTCTCATGTCTGCCAGTAAGACGCATGGCGTTGTCATCTCCATAAACTGCAATGTGCTCCTTGTGGCGACCCTCAAGCTTCTTGATAGCAGCCTCAATGTGCTTCATGCCTCCCTCTACACGCATCTCAGCACTTGAGAAGTTGGAGTGGAGACCAGCACCGTTCCAGTCACCTGGAATTGGCTTGGGGTGGAAAGAAATCTTGGCGCCAAATTCCTCAGCCACCCGATTCAGGAGGAAACGAGCCAACCAGAGGTGGTCACCCACTAAAATAAGAGTCAGTGATTATTCGGATTGATAATAGAAACAGGGGAGTACCCACTTTCGATGCCATCGCAAGGACCAACTTGGAACTCCCATTGAGCTGGCATAACCTCGGCGTTGGTACCGGAGATCTTGATGCCAGCATTCAAGCATGCCTTGTAGTGAGCCTCGACAATATCTCTGCAGAAAACCTTGCCAGTACCAACACCACAGTAGTATGGGCCTTGAGGACCTGGGAAACCATTTACTGGCCATCCGTAAGGTCTATCGGACATATCGAGGAGAGTGTACTCTTGCTCCAAACCGAACCAAGGCTCGTGGGACTTGTGTGCCTCCATGAGCTTGGCAGCCTCATGACGGTAGTTGAACTTGTTTGGGGTTCCATCGGGATCCCAGCACTCGGTCAAGACCAAGATGTTTGGGGCACCACGGAATGGATCTGGGAAGATTGCGACGGGGCGGAGGTAGACATCTGAGTTGTCACCGGGGGCTTGACCGGTCGAACTACCGTCGAAGTTCCATTCTGGGAGGTCATCCAGAGTGAATTGACCGCTCTCTGGGATCTTGGTGAGAGTCTGTGAATAGAAAAAGTTATATTAGTGCATGAGTCATTTGAGGTATTTGTGAGGATTTTGTTGAGGATGCAGTTGGGGCGCAAAGCCGCGGGTATGTGTGTGTTGGGTAATGTTGCTCACTTTTGACTTGGACGGGTACCGCCAGTGGAATCGATCCAGATGTACCTTTGTAAAGGATTAGATTTTGAAAGAGGGGAAAAAAGTATTCCATTAATTAGCTTACTCTGCCATGGCAGATCCCTTCTGGTCGAGCGCCATGTATTTCATGAGCTGTAAGGTTCAAAGGTAAAAGTTAGTGTTCTGTTTTGTTTTGTTTTGTTGCGCCGATAGCGGGGTATGGTTGTGAAGCACAAAGATTGGTGTTATCTTTGAAGGAATGGGAAAACTTACGTTCGCCGTATAGGAAACCGTTGTTGAGACAGCCATGATTGCGGACTTATTATGAGAATATGGAAGAGAGAAAGTAAAAGAGAAGAATAGAGAGGAATGCTTTGGAAGCAAAGAATCGAGAGTTGTAAAGTGGTTGTTGTTGTGTTGTTGTTGTTGATAGACTTCAAAAGTCCTAAGAGTAGGGAAGAAGAGTGTGGGGGATTTGGGGAAGAGAGAGAAAGAGAAAAGGTATGAAAGAGGAAGTGGGAATGTTTATGTATGTGTGTGATTTTTTTTTAATTCACTACCTAGGTAGATTTTTGGAAAATGGAACTGGAACTGGCAATGGAAATAGAAATAGAAACAAAATAGAATTGGCTAGGTAGGTATGATTGTCAGCGTAGATAAGAGTGGGGCCTGTCGGCTAAAGGAAGAAGAACTTTTGTACATTCGACGCTCGTGGCTCATACATCGACGCCCTGCAGGTCGGTCCTGGTGGTCCAAGGAAGGGAAAATGGCTGAGGATGGCGAGGATGGGCAATGGACAGGGGTCGGATTAAAGGTCGAGAGGCGTTGCAATAGTGAAGATTAAAAGGCAATTAAGTAAATCAATCGAGTATTCAGTACCTAATTAGAATGGACAGAAACAAATGAATCACCAGAATAAAATTGGAACGATGACTCTTGCGGCTTCTCATGGGCGGAGCCAGAGAGATAATGTGGAGGGGCGTGATGAGCGGGCGGTGGGTGGGCTGATGCGATTGATGATTTCATATGGAGTAATGAGAGAGAGAGAGAGAGAGATCAAGAAAGATGTAATATCTACGTATCTACATTACCCAGTTGATGATCTACGGAGTATAAAGGATTTAATTCTCATTCTTCATAATGGGTACCAGGTGTTTGAGGAATGAAATGCATTTGGTTACAAGATACAGGTTGAAAGAGATCATTCATTCATTCATTGCAAACTACCTAGTACTCCGTAGATACCATACCTGCCTACCTCGTACCTCTACCTCGTACCTCTACCTCGTACCTCTACCTCGTACCTCTACCTCGTACCTCTACCTCGTACCTCTACCTCGTACCTCTACCTCGTACCTCTACCTCGTACCTCTACCTCGTACCTCTACCTCGTACCTACCACCTACTCCCTCCATATCTGATATCAATCTTTTCTTTGTTCAACCCCCATTCCCCCATTCACCCATCCACTCACTGCCCAATACCAACCATAAACTAACATTAATATACAATCAGTCCTGTGTGTTTGTTACTTTTACAGTCTTAGACTCTTAATTCCCTACATCCCCAGTCCCCTTTATTGTCATCCCATGTACAATCTTACAATCAATCCCTTGGGATACATCTCCCCGGACAAACTTACAACTTTTGAGGCATATATTACTCGACTAAGAGATTCATCCTTGAAACATTCCCTGTCATCCAGTCTTCTTGTATCATGTATCATGTCTCTAGTATGATGTAAAATTATATGTGGCAACCATCTTCATATCACCGTCTATTAAGTTATTTCTTTGAAAAGCCCCAAAGTCAAAAACAAAAACCGCAAAAATAATACTCCTAAAACAAATCCTAATCGCCAGAATTCGTACCTTCTTTCTTGGAATCTCGACGTTCCCTTTTCGCAAATGGTTCCGCATCGTCACAATCCAGGGGCAATGCATACTATATTAGTCCGTCTCCCTAGTACGAGTGTAGTACATTTCCTGGTCCGAGAATGCAATGCAAAAAAGTAGTTTGGTCAAATGTGTCCGTCCATACAAATTCAAAGGATCTACAAAAAAACTAATCGCCGGTTCCATCATGCTATCGCTGTCGCCGAGCGGGTTCAACTATCGTGATTATCATATTTGACTCAATCGAGTCAATCAAGTCAATCAGGTCAATCAAGTCGCATCCCACGCAAATTTGATCCTATACTTATCGACGAGACGGTACAAGACGGGAGAATCTTTCAGCCAGCTTTCAGCCATTCCATACCGTTCACATGGATGAAAATGTCTCACAACTATCTTCAGCCCTTTCGAATGGAATTCTCTTTTTTCTGATATCTTGTTTCACCACCGAAAACCACGCAAGCAGGGTCTGACAAACCCAGACATTGTAGACATGGCAAGAAAAGGTCTGGTCTCTCGACTCTGACTCTATCGAACACATACCGTACAGACTGCATGCATGCATCGTGGGAACTGTCCAAGGTCCCCCACACACACAACAACAACACCATGCACATCTCACCCAATCTGTCTATAGCCAATCAATAGTAACGTAAAAAGGTTTTTAAACTCCCCCGGTTTATCATTTCCTCTATCTGATCCTACCCACGCTCGCACGCTATCACGACCTGAATAGGGATTTCATGATTCTCGAGCCCAAACAAAGAGTGGAAATGGCCGAATCTATGGCGTGGCTTTACAAATAGATTGCTTTTTACGGGATAAAGGATGGAGGTATTGGGATGTTGGGACGATATGATTCGGTTCAAGGCCAAAGAATCTTTGGTCTGGCCGAGATCTTGAGTAACAGAAGTCATGGATTCTGATAAGAAGATTAGAATCTGATTGGGTTGATTAAGCCCAGTTCGTAAGCGTCCCATCTAATCATCGATGCCGTCGTCCGATCTCGCCTATGCTTTTTGCAGAAGAAGAATCTGAATTTACTTGGTATGGTTGGATGGATGAATTGAATCCAATAGGAGGGAAATACAATTTGTCGGGTTTCATCATGTGATCTACCATCCGGTTCTAAATTTATCCCATTGGGAAAGTCCTTGAGACATTATCCGTTTTCCCTTTCATCCATTTACAATTTCATTCCTCGAAAGTTTATTATCAATG